ACATGGCCATCCTTTCTGGTGGTCCTGATTCTACCTCATCTCTCCTCATGAAGATCCTGTCACTGGAGAGCTGGCTGGGCCCTCAACAACCAAGCTTGCTAATAGATAATCTAGTGTTTTAAAAATGTTTATATATTTTCAAGAAATTAATAAAGCCTGAATATGATTTATTTATATGAAGACTTTTAAAAAATGAAGGTATTCCTGTGCAAAACACTGTGATGTATTATTAAAATGAAGGTTTTGATGATTTTTTTTATCTTTTTGAAAATATCATCTGCAAAGAATGCTTCAATGCACATTATTTTCTTTAAAAACACAATCCAAGGTATTTTTATCGTACAAACAGTGCAAACATTTCCTTTGTGACTTCAGGATTTAGTGCTGAACGTTTCAGAGCTCGGCTTGAAGGCAGATGCTTTGATCTTCTTCATCGACAAGACAAAATAAATGAGGATGAAGACACCTGCAAAAACAAAAACAAAAAATAGAAAGTTAAACAGAACAAATCTCTGCTCTGAAAATCACTTTTTTCCACTGATTTGTGTGAAAAGGGTTACAAATGAAGAAGAGAAAAGCTTTATTTTGCTAGATTTTGTTTTTTCTCTCATCATGCTGCAATAAGTTCTTCAGACCTTGCAAGGAGTTGATAATGCAGAATACGTAGAGGCCAGGAGTGGTCAGCTGGCCGAATGAGAAGAAGATCAGACCCCAGGTGAGTCCCAGCAGGACCATCAGAACCAGCAGGGTGAAAACTTCTCGCTTCACTTTGCTTTTCTTATTCGGCGCAGTCTGATTCGACAAAAATGAAACGAAACACAGGCTGGAGGTCACCGCTTATCCACAAAAAGCAGCCAAAATAAACTCACCAGCATATTGAATTCAAATCCAGTTCAGACCTAACATTTGGAAGCAGCTTTAAGTTTTTTTTTTGTTGTTTTTTGTTTTTTAATTGTACAAATTATATTTTCAGATTTTGCTTTCAATCCCAAATTTGATTTTTCAAATTTAGTATTGGATACACATTACTGTGCCAAATCCTTGTGGAATAAAAATCAGCAAATGAAAAGACGACAGGAGTTTTAGGGTTGAAGGATTTGCAAATTAAGTGCAAAATAAAAAGAAAATGAATCACATGTTGCATATGTGACGTTATGCTGAAATGATGTTCAAACCAGCGAAGTTTACTTCGAAAAAAGCAAGAAAAGACAAGACTGCTACCTGGTAACTGCAGCAAAAATCTATTCTAAAAAGGGACTCTAAAATAATCCTGATTATTTTGTATAGCAATAAAAATATGATCTACTTTGGACAAAGCTGACATTGCCTTAAAATATTTTGACCAAAATTTTCTGCTAATAATTTTAGAAAATCTGAAAAAAGTGTGATTATACCTGTTTGCTAAGTTTGTCACACATTAGCCATTTTGCGATCCCTCCAAACATGATGCCATTAAAGATGAACACCGTGCTGAACAGGCCCAGTGTGGTTCCCATCTTCACTTTGTCATCGGTGATGTAGCATCTAAAGCACAGGCAGCAATTCATCGTGTTATGGAAAGGAAATAAAATCTGCAACAGAAACGGGACTGAAAACATCTGTAATAAACTTTGAATACGCTTTAGCCAAGTCAACTGTATGTCTGGTTCTTTATTAAATAATGCAAAACACATAAGGTGAGAGTTGTACGGAAAAGGATTAGGGCCACTGAAAAAAAAAATCAAATTTTTTCTCAAATCTTGATTTTTTTTTCATTAAAATTTTTATGTCAGCCTTAGAATTTTGACTGTAATCTCTTAAGATCAAGAGTCAGACTTCTGAGAAAAAAGTCAGAATTTTTACTTTTTTTTCTATAATTTCTGGTGTCAAGTCAGAATACTAAGATTAATGTCAGAACTGTGAAAAAAAAAGTCTGATTTATTTATTTATTGCAGTGGCACTTATCCTCGTGCAGAACAGGAAGTGGTCTAAATGTGCTTGTGTGTCTGTGTTTTTCTTACACTGCGGTCTCATTAGGCCTAGACTGGTCCAGTGTGGCACGACCGTACATGTTGTGGTCAGTGATCACCACTACTGTCACAATGACCGCTGGAAGACCTGAAACACACCAGTTGACACCTTCATTTAAACCTGCAGACATTTAATGTCCAGTCTCAGACAATGCCACTCACCCCATCCCACCACGCTGAGTTTCAGCAGGTATCTCTTCACATAGACGTTGAAGACTTTGACCAATAAGATATAGAGGTGGAAGCCCTCCAAGCCCATCCAGGTCACAGAGGCCAGCAGGGAGTAGTGAAGAAGAAGAGCCACGTAACGACAAAGCGCGGTGGAGGACGACGCTGCGGCCGCCTGGCTGGGCAGGAAGTGAACGTTGAGGAGGATCAGAGCGACTGCCAGACTGATGTGGATCTTCTTGGAATCGTCTCCTCTGAGTTTTCTGTCAGACACAGAAGACGAGGTCAGATGTAGATGACAACTTTTGCTCAGACTCCATGCTGCTCACACCGTATCACAGAAAATCCAGAGAAAAAATAACAGAACTAGAAGAAAAGGTAAATAAGACCTGGAGTCGATGTGGGCAAAGAGAAGAACTCCACTACCTGTCTGTGATGAAGAGCAAAACGGCGATGACCAGAGCGGTCAGGGAGATGCCGCAGCCAATGTAGGAAATGTAGGACAGGATCACCTCGTCTTCAGGGGAGAGATCTGCAGACACCTGTGTGGAATTGACAGCATTGCTTTACAATCTGGTGTTGTGGCATATCATGACACAATTTTAAAAAATGAAATTGACTTTACAAACTGTGTATATAAAGCACTATAAAACTAGAATTGTTAATACTTTTTGTTGTAAGCACGTCTTTTATGTTATATCCTAGTGTGAAGATAAAAAAGTCCTCTTGGAGAGTTATTTACTTTCACAGTTCAATAGAATGCGATGCAGAAGTTATAGTGATGCATAAATGTCTTTTTGTTGTTTTTTTTCTTTTTTTTTTACAATATTTTTGGTCTCAATGACATGACATTCTATAAGTTTAGGCTTAGTTTGGTTCCAGCTGTTTGGTTACCCGAAGCAGAAATATGAGTCAATTTGAAGCTGTGCCTTTTACTGAGTACCTGACAGAATAAAACATTAATCTTTGCTGTTTCTGGTTCACTGAACTGTCCCAAATAAACACAGAGAGAAATGTGTGTGTTAAAAAGTACAAGTTCTCAATTACAAAACTAAACATGCATTTTTGTCATCAATGAATAGATACTTTAGCATAAAAAAAGCCCAATAGCATTATAAATAATTTAGCCTCTCTACTTACTCCAATATGCTTTCCCATGGATGAAACAGCAGGTAAAGGAACTTACCTACCGTCAGCAGACGTTTACTTATTGCCACCATTTGTTCAATCGGCGCTCAGTGGCGTCACTTTGCTCTGACACCAGGTAGCGTTTGTCAGACACCAGGAGGCGACTGTTAGTGCCTCATGGACACATGAATCACATGGACTGGAGACAGGAGAGTGACTCCTCTTTTTCTCAAGCAAATGTATTACTTTGGTATCACTAATGTCTGTTAATATGCTTTACACTTTTGTTATTTTAAATATGTCCTTATTTTCATATTTATGATCATTTTTTATGAGCCAGATTTTTTTGCTGCTCCACACACACTGCATGATCCAAGTGGGCGGAGCATAACCACCGGTTACATATTTCACAGTTCATTAAATGGCTTCATTAGTTTATTTCTTCTTCTTCAATAGATACTCATCTTTTAGAAGTGACCTTTAAAAAGTAATTTTGGTAACACTTTGTGTGCATACTACCATGATAATGTCACTAACATGACATAACACCAGTTATGAACATGAAGGAGTCTTCATGAATGTCTATGACAAACAGGTGTGTTTTTAATGTTCCATAGTATGCCTGGAAATGCCAAACAATGGGAAAAATGCCCTCAGAAATGACAGAAGCTGTCAATTCACAAGTAATTAAAATGTGTTTAAGTCTGTGGGTTAAACACATTTGGGGTTGGAGAAAATCTGCAATAAATTCAAACTTGTGCACCCAAGGCTATTGAAACGATCTAACTGAAGTTGTGTGGTACTCCTGAAAGCAAACTTGTGCATGTATGTAAAATTCTGACCTCAATGTTTTAACATTCTCTTGCTGTCATGGAAAGACAAGATGAAGTTTAAACTAAAAGCTGGTCTTACCATCAGCACACCAAAGTATGTGAGATGATCACAGGAGCAGGTGATGTGATTCTGATCCCACTTTGTCTCACAACCTGAAGTGCGGAAGTGAGAGAGAGAGAGAGAGAGAGAGAGAGAGAGAGAGAAAGAGAGAAAGAGAGAAAGAGAAAAGCTGTATTGTTCTTTAGATTTCCGTTATGTTTCTGCATATCAAAGCGATGTTACTTTGGATACTCACTTTTCTCTCTGGTGTTCAGGTACACACACTGGGGCTTCATTGTTTTCTAGAGAGAAAACAACATTCCTTGTTTAACATCTAATTGGTGAATTCTATCCATCAGTGACAACATAAAACAGACTTCACAGTCTTACAGAAAACTGAAACTATAATCATTCTTACATCTATGCTTGTTTCCGTGTTTATGGTGAAGCTGACTCGGTCCTGAAGTCCTGAAACGCTCCTGCCCCTGACACTCAGGCCAATAAGCCGACGGTCATACAGTTCATCTGAGCGCTCCAGAGCCGTCTGCCGAACAAAACACACTCTGCTGAATTCAATGTTTTTCAAGTAAGCGAATTAGAAAACATGTGTCTCCTAATGATGTTCGTTTACAGTAGCATTTTAATTTTAGCAGTTATTCACACAAACAGTAGCACAATATCCTTAATTACACTGATATGACAATGTAATAATATCACGTATGACTAAATCTACTTTTTAATTATGCAATGTAACATCAAGATGCAATGTTGTTAGGTTCTGGTTTACCCTTCCTGTTACAAATGTCCTGTTTAACAGAAAACACTTGATTTCAGCTGATTTGCCATTTTCATTCATTTATGAAACAAAGGTGAAAATTTAGAGAATCACTCTGTATTACAAAATCTAACATTCTTCCTGTCTGAGCATCATTTACAATAACCCACCTGTGGCCAACATAAATTGAAAGAGCATGTCTCAGAAAGATTATTTTAACTATGGCATTCCGACATCTAGGTTGAGTCTTTTTTTATTTATTTTTTAAACACACATTGTCATTTGAAACTCCGTAGCAAGACTGTGGTCTTCTACAACCGTCACAAAACTCAACTGGACAGTTAAACCAGGATACGGCTCATCGAAGTGAACAGAGTGATGGAAACAGGATGGACGGCGGCGTCACTGACCTCATTAGGTAACTGGATCATGCAGAACACAATAGTATTGTTCTGGCCAGCATTGAGCTCACTTGGAAGGTGAACTCTCAATTTGCTGTTTGAAACATCTGAATCTATCATTACCTACAAAGGAGCCAGAAAGAGAAAGAACAGAACAGAGGAAGATAAATACAGTTTGAACTGCAGTAGGTAAAAAAATAAAAAATAAATAAATAAATAGAACTGCAGGCAGTTGTCAACGGGTTCCAAGCCCCAGGAACGCCGCAAGGAATTTTGGGTCTCATGACAAACAATAAAATTGCTCCCCTTCCTTCTCCCCCATGCAGCTACGTTCACCAAGTCTTGAGTCTGTCTGACCCAACAGAAGCTTTACATGACCAACTTTAAGGTCTTGCAACTTTCTTGCTTTCTTTGGTCTAATACTGATACCAGCACAGTATTTACTGCTGGTGAAATATTCATGCAAAGGTCTGCATACAGTATCCAATTCACTATTCGAAGTAAAACTAAAATCAGACTAAAAAATCTAAGGGTCAAATCTTAGTCTCTATTTTCTTATTACGAAAACATTATATATTAAAATAAAAAATAAAACAATGTAATTTTACCACCATTCCAAAACATGTAACAGGCTGTCACCTGTTTGTCACTGGCTGAAATGTGAAGACCTTTAAAGTCACCAGTGGGTCTGTGCAGTAAAGCCACCATGTTGTCCTGGTATAAGGCTGCTGAATTATTAGTGAACTCAGTTTTCTCCAGAGCTTCCTGTAGGACTCCAAGGGCTCTTGTGAAAAATCATAAACGGATAAATTGACCAACCAAATCAACACCTTGTTATTAATACACAAATTCAGATGATCTGTATGATAAAAAAGATTAAAATATTCACTTGACAGTGTCGTTATGGGGAACATTATGCAGTAGTAACATGAAGGTTTCCATGCAGCAGCTTGCATGATCAGCATCGTTCTGTTCTGAAGATTTAATTAATACATAGTTTATATGAGAAAATGGAAAACAGAAAATAATCTTCCTTCTGGTACCTGTTGATGTTTACGTACCTGGATCAGAAGGCTGTTTGCAGTTTAAATAGTCTAATGCTTTACAACAACCTGGAGATAGGGAATGTTTTTTGGCTGCACTGCCATTTGTTTCCACATTGTGATGAAACATGAAAGACAAGATCAGCCAGCAGAGAGTCCAACGCCTCATTCTGTGAGACAGAGACAACATTCAGCTCACAGCAGCTGCTTGTGGTTAGAGTCGCTGTGTTAATGAACACCAGTGCAGAGAACAATTATTAATGAAACCAAATATAACATTTGTACTTGTTTTTTTTCCTGATTGTCTCAAAGTCTGCACAAGTTCTTACACCAAACTAAACTTTACAAACATTGATGTAATTATGCAGCCAGAAATTTGCATATGTCAGATAAAAAGACAGAAACAGTCTTTTTCTCACAGTTGAAAGCTAAATCAGACAAAACTTTTAGGTCAGTCAGAAATACCAAAATGATTTCTGTTTGCTAAATGAGGATATGTCAGAAATAAGGTTAAGTGATGTGCTACATTGATTCAGACATATTCCTCAGGTGGTGACATTTGACTCTTTTTTTAGTGCAACAATGTAAACAAGCAAAAAGACAAAAAACAAAACTGAAAATAAGGCTTAAAAACATCATGCTGTATGTAATTATTCTATATAATGAGCTTTACTCAGTGAACTAAATTATTGAAAGAAGGAAACTTTTGAATACCCCAACTCATTTAGTCTTTATAAGGCCTGCTTAACAGTAAAACACAGTGAGGTAAACTTGAGTTCACTTTCAGTCCCACCCATTAAAACAACATCATTTATGTTGTTTTGTTGTTATGATGTTGTGTTGACCCACAACATCATTTATGTTGTTTTAATTAGAATTTACTTAAAACTTCTGCTGCTGTTGGAAGCTTCACCTGTTTCTGGGATGAGCAAAGTCAGCAGTGTTTCAGGATCCAAACAACTGGTCAACACGATCATTTTCTAAATATAAAATGTTTAAAAATCTTAAATCTTATGGTTAAACCTTAACCTGCATCGCTAAACACAAAATTAAAATTGAATAAAATATATATATATATTTTTTTATGAAATCTTTCTTTTCAGTGAGTTAGTTTGAGCTCCTACACAGTTTTTATTTTTGTGCACCTTGTTAAATAAAACACAGGTTCTGTTTTGGTCTGACTTCGATGCAACCAGCTTAAATAAGAAATGTGAAGAAAATCATATCCTACCTGCAGTAATGCGTCTGCTTCATGACCAGGTGGAACATGAAGATACAACTGATGTGACAGCAGGAGACCAACCTTCACTTTAAACCAGTTAAAAATAACATGTAAATGAGACTCCAGAGAAAAACAGGAAGCTTCCAGACAGATATGTGTCTGTTCTGAATCATTGCAATAAAGAAAAATGTGTGTGTAAAGATAATTGTTTGCATCAAAGACTATCAGATACCAGAATTTTGACAGCTTTGCACATTTATTTAACCTCATTATTTTGAGCAACTATTTGTTGGTCTATTTAACAAAACTAAATCATGGTCTTGTGAAGATGCTAAAAGGTTTGAGGTTTTAACTTTTAACTTTATGTTCACTTCCTGTCTGGTTCACAATAACTGACTTGGTGTTTGAAACATTTGCCACCACATGTGCAGCTCTGAAGACAGAATCATCAGTTCACTACAACCTTTGAGAAATCCAAAACTCAGAAAGAAAAACTTCAATGCAAAGTTTAAATGTACGATTTCCAATCCATGGTTTTTATGGGTTTAAAATGCAAACTGCTGTAATACTTCTTAAAAGCACAGATCTACGTCAATTTCCTGAGGCTTTCTTTGGAACAAATGGGATGGAAACCCATTTGAAGAGGGATGAGTGATCACGCAAATGAGATTTGCAGTGAGAACAAAGCCGTGTCTGTGCTTCTACCAAAAAGGTGATGTCTTTTATCCAAATAGCATGAAACCAAAACTAACCTGTTTTTTTTTTTGTGTTTGTTTGTTAGTATTTTTTTTACACGTCATGCATCTGGTCCAGCAGAGTTCTGAGAACGCTTTAGTTAATGGATTCAAAGCAGTGTCTCTGAACTCAGCTGGATGAACAGCCGGTGTTGGTTCCGATCCAACAAATAACCAAGAAACAATTAATAACGACAACAGAAAGGTTTTAGTCAAGACCTGCACACAAAGACTGCCAGGATCTTCGGCTTTTTTAGTTTTTTTTTCTAGGTTTGTAGTTTAATTCATTTGTTATCTGTGGGTTGCCTTTGTTCTCCTCTGTTTTCAGCCTTGTTTCTGTTTTACTTTAGGTCAGTCTGGTCCTTGTGTTGCTTCCCCAGCTTCCCTGTTACTGCTTCTTCTTACTCCTTTGTGTTATTTCTCTCCCTCAGCCTGCCTTCTCCTTTGACCTCACAGCTGCACCTTGTTTTCTAATTAACACCAGTCCATCATTCCAGTGTTTAAACTCATTTAGGAGACAGAGGAACGTGGGAACACAGATGATGAAGTGTTGGGAAGTGAAGCCACACTGCATCCTGATTCCTATCTAATTTGACTCCATAATCAAACTTTAGTCATGGATCCACTTTCTCATAAGCATTCAAAACAGCAGTTGTTTATATTTCTGCTGCTGAGCTGTAGCTATATAGAATGACTATTCAAATAAAAATAATCCCTATGAGCCAACTTAAATATTAAATCACAGTCCACATAATATTTCAAAGTTTTATCACCATCACATCCCTCTGCCCAGGTGATCAGTAGGGTGATGTATACCACTGATTATATAATATATAATTAGTTGTGGAGCAATCAGGCTGACTGCTGTAAATATTTAAATACTGTGGTGATACTGCTGACAATGCATCAGCCCTGATGGAAGTCTGTTTTTTTTTTTGTTTTGTTTTGTTTAGTATTGTATTTTAGAAATGTCTGGTTTCCCCGCAATGTAAAGATTATCAGATTTATTCTTATCCATAGCTTCTTTGTCATACTGACAAAATAAAAGTTGTAAATGTAATTTAAAAAATGTATATAACATCCAATCAGCTGCAGACAGTTCTTTTGTCTTACAATGCTGTGGTATGCCTCCAATTCACCACTAAAACACACAAACATAAAAAATGACAGAAGTTAAACTTCTACATGAACAGAGTGTTCGGGCTGCCCAAATCTGCTGGATAAAGTGGGGTATTTTTGCCTCCTAGTGGTAAAAAGAAAGAAGTACCTGCTACAGGGATAGTTAATGGTTGGCCAACTTATTAAAGAAGTATGCATAAAAGACTGGCATAAAGGTCTTAATATAAAATGTATTTGGAGATAATTGACAGAGCTTTAACTTTCACTTTAACAGTGTTCCACAGAGCCAGCCTATGGCATAATCAGACTAAGCAGCTGTTTAGAGCAAAAGCACAAATTAATAACAAAAGTTTAAATAGATGTACTATTGACAGATCAGTAAGACTTAAAAGTAAAAAAAAGAAAAAGTAAAAGTAAAAGAAAACAATCATTGATAATTTCCATTCTCTCCTTTGACAATACTGACTTTAAAAACAAATATATCTTCTACCATTTTCAAACATGTAAGAAAAAAAAACACCATATAAATGATGTGAATCATGTAACTATAGCTTTCAGTGACACAGTGTTGGTTGGACATTCAACCCGTGTCTTAATTATTTTTTTCTAATTTTGTATTTTAGTAACTTTAGTCTTTGGTATAATGCACAAATGTTCAGACAAGAATTAACTAAATCTTTTGGCATTAAATTCACATCTGGTGTAAAAACTGAGGAAAAATAGCGTGTCTGATATCACGGGGGAAACATGCAGCACTAAATAAAAAATAATAATATGGAGCTGGGGAAACCAAAAGTTTCAAAATCAACTAACAAAGAGGAGAGTGATCATTCACATATTTATTCAAAACTATTAATTAAAGAAAACGACATCACAACTGTGTTCAAACAAAAAAACTAGAAACATAAAATGTGAAGGAGTAAACAAGCAGGAGGAATCACAGGAATGATTATATAGATGTTTTTTTTTATCTTAACACAAAAATGTATGTTTACAAAACTGAATGATGAGCTGAAAAAACACACCGGATTATATATAATGACTGATCAAATCATTAAAACACAAGAGGGGTAGCTAAGCATGTAAATTACTAAATAAAAAAATTAAAGTGTACAGAAATTCACTAATAAACTAAACACACACAAAAAATGCAAATCAACAACATTAAACTATAAATACAATTATTTAACAAAACACCAAATGCTAGTTTAACTGTAGTAAATATCACTTTATATACCAGTTATGAATCATCCAGATATTTGGATTTCAGGTTTTTCAGAGCTTGTGTCTTTGGTCTTTTTCAAAGACAACACAAAATAAATGAAGATGAAGAAACCTGGGGGGGGGAAAAGAAAGTGGAGAAAATGTCAGCGTCATGCAAATAATGCTGGAGCACTGACAAATAGATAATCAGGTCACAGCGTGTTTGATTTGCACCAGGTGCCACAACACAACAGAACACATTCAGTCACGTTGTAACGAGCTCTCCTGACCTTGCAGAGGGTTTAGGATGCAGAAGGCGTAGAGTGCAGGAGTGGTCAGGTTACCAAACGAGAAGAAGATGACTCCCCAGGGGAGGCCCAGCAGAACCAGAAGCAACAGCAAGGTGACCATTTCTGGCTTGGCGTTTTTAAGGCCGCTCCATCCGTGCTGATTCACCAAACATGAAGGGAAACACATGGACAAAATTATCAAGACATTATTACATGCTCGGTCAGGCTACATTTGCACGATACTGCTGCCTAGGAACTGCGCGTATTTTCAGACGTTGACTGGGGGATAATTCCACTTTTAGATTTAACAGTAGACACAGTAAGCTGTAGTTGTCATGCCAGGTCACTAGATGGTGCTGTTATTTTAGCATGTCAATCACTGGTATCGTGTCATTGACTTTCAATCAATCCCTCATACCGAGCATGCAGGGAGCAACGGTGGAGAAATGGCTATAATGGTAGAAGCTTGTTAAAGAATCAATCACAATACGAGAAAAAAAGGTGACAAACCTTATGATAACATATAATAATAATTAATTACCTCTTTTCTCATGTGGGAGTCTGCAAAATATTTCACTGTGATTCCAAACATTATCAGATTGAACAGGAACATCAAACTGAATAATCCAAGTGTGGTCCCCATTTTCACTTTGTCTTCGGTTACGTAACATCTGTATGTAGAAGAAAGGGAAAAGCAACCATTTTTGTCATATAATAGGAAAAACATAAATAAAATGTTATACACAGTGCTTCTGCTTTAATATTAAGACAGAATTCAAAGTACAGTATATTTAAGATAGTTTATTATTTAAATGTAAGTTTTTTTGACTGTCTTTTCTTTACACTGTTGTTCCGTTGGGGTTGGACAAGTTTAGAGAAGTACGACCATATGTGTTTTTGTCGACGATCACCACCACTGACACAATGACAGCTGGAAGACCTGAAACACAACGATTGGTACATTCTTAAAGCTGTAAATACTTATCCTCCAGTATCACATGATGCCACTCACCCCATCCCACCACGCTGAGTTTCAGCAGGTATCGTCTCACATAGACGTTGAAGACTTTGACCAGAAGAAGGTAGAGGTGGAAGCCCTCCAAGGCCATCCAGGTGAAAGAGGCCAGCAGGGAGTAGTGAAGAAGAAGAGCCACATAGAGACAAAGCTCAGTGGAGGACGACGCTGCTGCCGCCTGACTGGGGAGGAAGTGAACGTTGAGGAGGATCAAAGAAGCTGCCAGGCTGATGTGGATCTTCTTGGAATCGTCTCCTCTGAGTTTTCTGTCAGACACAGAAGAC